AAAGAGTCCATTTCCAGAGCACCAAGTATCACCTCCTCCAATTCAATTGGTTGAGTGATGTCGATATCAACTTCAATTCCATCGACTAAATTATGCTGTTTGGCAAATAATCGAGAGACGAAACACGTGTGGTACTAAAAAGAATGATAATTGCTAATAAAAAAATTCACACTGATAATTTAATTTCTTCCCGCGTGACTTACATCCGGCGCCTCTCCAAATATCTCTGAATGATGCAATTGTGCAAATGTGACTATAGATGTAATCAAGGGTTTCATCCAAGTATTCTCTGGTTTAGGTTTTAATAAATTCGAGCTAGTCTGGCTGACGTCTCGTGGAGTAATTGATATCGAAATGACCGATTTGAAGCCATTGATAACATTGGCTATTTTTATATTTTTAGAATTATTTAAATATCAATTCGTGTTCATTTCATAGAACAATTCTCGTCACAAACCCTTATTTACTACCTTCACTCTGAGGTGTCAAGATATGACGCGACAGCTTGCTCCACAAGGAGTCACTTAGTCCAACTATGTTGAAATCTTGACTATCTGCCCATAAAGTGTTTACAACTTGTATTTTTATTGTTTGAAGTTTTGGTAAAAAAGGTGCCATTCTGTTCATAATTTTTTGATTCTTTGCACAGGGATCTTTGTGATCGAGATCATCAGATAAGATATCATCTGATAAACAGACAACCTTTAGCATTAGTCGAGAAGCAAGTCGCGACGACTCTTTAAGAGATGGCTGATATAGATCAGCAACAGGTCCAGTCTTTGGTTCTTTCGGCAGAATTAAATTCTGAGAATGAAAATTTAGAGCAGCTTGGACCCATAATAAAGTCTATATATGATAATGGACGTCAGGAGGCGTTTCTCGAACAGCTGACAGTTTTTGTGAGAAAGAAGGAGGGTGAAATTGAGAGAATGTGCAATAGTAATTATCAGGTGTGTGAGGTTTCATTTCGCATACAAAAATGGTGTCGACTGTTTCATCATTCGTATCAAAGGGGGGGGGGGGAGGTCATCCACCAATTTTCAGATGTCATAATTTTATCGTTTATCTAAATAAAAGTATATTTTGCTTCATCCGCGAATATAGGAATTTGTACATTCTGTAGATCAACTTTTAAAAGTGAGACAAGGAACTGTGAATCTTAAAAATAAAATAATAGATTTGAACTATGATGTTCAATTATCGGGTAAAAAGCTTGCAACAAAGGTAATATTTACTTTTTTTTCATTCATTAATTCATTTGATTTTATTATTTACAAGTCTCAATTTTTTTATAATTAGAAAAAAGAGTTAATACAAACTCGTAGAATTCAGAAAAATATCGATGAAGCCGTGGAGACATTACAAACATGTCTATACGTACTGGATCTTGCTAATCGTGTCAACAATCTGATTGAAGTTGATATCGACATCACTCAACCAATTGAATTGGAGGAGGTGATACTTGGTGCTCTGGAAATGGACTCTTTTGATGTTTCAATGATAGGTGCGTCTATTAATTATTATCCTGTATTGAATCTGAATACTAAAAGCACAAATACGAGACGTTGATTACATCTGGACATTATATTATTAAAAGACAAATGATTTCTTTTTGATCACCAATATTCGTTCACTGGCACCGACTTTTACAATTGTTATTAAAGATCCCGTTGCCATATCGGACTATTTTCGCTCCTCACCTCCTATAATAATTCGTCATGCGCAAACTTATCGAGTTCCTAATCCTCCTTCGCAGACTTTCGTAACTGCAACATTTTCATCTTCACTCGATTTTAAAGTGTTAATGTGCAATCCGGTGTTACAAGGTATAATCTCGGATCAAACGAATCTTATAATTACAGACTTATCGAGTGAGACATTCACTATCAACGAAGAAGACCAATTGGATGACACGTTGATTGATTTCGATAATGACGAGGATATTTTGGAACAGGAAGTAGTTCCATTGGAATTAGATAGTTTCTCGTTGTTGAGCTCACAGATGGAGAGTCCTACGAATGGTCTTTATTTCCGTATGCCAGATGAATTAAATGAACGCGAATCAGATTCGACGGCATCTGTTTCATTACCGTCATCTGAAGAAGAGGGTGTTGAAAATGGTGATTCCACACATTTAAATCTAAAGAAAAGTGAGTTTAAGCCATTGATTTTGTCGAGTCCTCTGTTGAGATTCTCACTTCAACCGACACCAAAGGAAAATGATGATCCGGAATCATGGATTCTAATTAGTATGTCAATGTTAGCTAGATTAGGATGTCAAAGTGGTAGCTGGGTTTGTTCATCACCTTCTTAATAATTAATATTTTAATTTTCATAACGTGGATTTATATTTATTTTTGCGTACAAATTAATTATTAGGTTCTAGTATCAAGCACGAAAAATAAACCACGACTATGTCAAATATATGCAGCCGATATACCCAATTCAATAAAGTAAGCTAATTTTAATCCCATAGAAATGCTTATTTCTCGTTTTTTTGTATCTAAAAAAATATATATATATATTTTAGTCATTCATTGCCATCTGCTTATATCACTCCACAACTTCATTTTAATCTTGGCTTGAACAAAAAATCTGTTGACACTTTAGAAAGCATTAGCATTCAATCCATCGATAAATCTCATTCATCGCCACCTGTTGCAAAGAGCTTGACTGTTGCCAGAGTAGCTTCTCCATGTAGCCATGATAAGACTTTATATCTGGCGAGTTTGGATGAACTGAAAAGATGGTTTGAGGATGTAGAAAGGATTGTTTGTGAAGGCGATGTAATTTCCGTGCCTATTGATGGTAATTATTATAATAAGATCTTTTGTAATTATTTATAGAGAATAACCCTCTAATAGAACAATATTTATTCTATATAGAAGAAAATGCTCGATTAAGACCACAGAAAACAGAGGGCGACATTGAATCATTAGAAGATATCAAAATTCCTATGGCACCTACAAAACATACAGCTGTTGTGCACTTTATTATCACTCGATTAGAACCCAATGACAGGAAACAAATTCTCAAAAAGGGATACGGAAAAAGAATTGACCCAAAACTTACGAAAATGGTTCAAACAGGACTGGAACATTCAAGGGTACCCCCTGTAATAAAACGTTATTTAAGAATATTTTCAGAAACACCAATAGCACCACCAATTGGCTCTGCACTTACTGCTCCTGAAACTCCATACGCGAAACTTTATGATCTAGTATCATCATGTTTAGATCCAAGCGCTTCATTACTTAATCTCAGCTGCACAGTTTTACTACATGGTCAACGTGGATGTGGTAAAAAGACAACTGTTGAATGGGTGTCAGATCGTCTTGGAATTCATTTATATGAAGTAAATTGTTTTGATTTTGCTGGGGAGACTGATGCGAAAATTGAAACTTCTATTCGTGCTAGACTTCATAACGCTATCACTTACTCCCCGTGCGTATTTTTACTTAGACATGTAGAAGCATTAGCCAGAAAAAGTGCGGTATTAGAAACTGGTCAAGAGCCAACAGTATCAGTCACTTTACAAGATTGTTTTAAACAATTGGTAGGATCTTTTAAAAGAATTGGACATCCTGTCTTGGTAATTGGGACAACAAGTGATATTGAAAAGATACCTGCAAGTGTCATAGGTTGCTTCCGTCATCAGATTTCATTTGAAGCTCCCGCTGAACCAGCCAGATTAGCAATTTTGGAACAATTGACAATTGACACTCCATTGGCTCCCGATGTATCATTGTCATCGTTGGCTACTCAGACCGCCGCATTAGTTGCTAAAGATCTGACAGATTTAATAGCGAGAGCAGGAATCGCGGCACTTGAACGAGTCGAAAAAGGTGTAAAGAAATCGGATAAACAAGTGCAAGATGTCGATTTATTAAGAGCGGGAATAGCATTGACAGCAGCTGATTTCGAAACAGCTCTCGGAAAGGCTAGAGCATCTTACTCTGATAGTATAGGCGCACCCAAAATACCCAATGTAACCTGGGATGATGTGGGTGGTTTAGCGTCAGTTAAAGACGATATCTTGGATACGATTCAATTACCTCTGGAACATCCAGAGCTATTTGCCAGTGGAATGAAAAAACGATCTGGTATATTATTATACGGGCCACCTGGCACTGGAAAAACATTACTTGCCAAGGCAGTGGCCACTTCATGTTCTCTAAACTTTTTTTCGGTGAAAGGACCCGAACTATTAAATATGTATATCGGTGAATCCGAAGCTAATGTACGTCGTGTATTTCAAAGAGCGCGTGATGCAAAACCCTGTGTCATTTTCTTTGATGAACTTGATTCGGTTGCACCTAAAAGAGGTGAAAAAGGAGATTCTGGCGGTGTTATGGATCGTATTGTTAGTCAGTTACTAGCTGAGTTGGATGGTTTAGGTCAAGGAAGTGGAGCAGCTGATGTATTTGTTATTGGTGCAACTAATAGACCTGACTTGTTAGATCCTGCGTTATTAAGACCCGGACGGTAATTTACTATTATATTCGATTTTATTGATGGTATTAATGAATTAACAATTGCACCATTTATTAGATTTGAGAAACTACTTTATTTGGGAGTGAGTGAAGATCACGAATCACAGCTCAATATTATTCGAGCATTGACCAGAAAGTATGAATTTGGTTTAGTTATATTACATTTTTTTTTGAATTACCGAATTCAATTATCATATGTAAAATATACAGGTTTCGTTTGGCTTCTTCCTTGGATCTTGCTGTCGTGGCAAATAAGTGTCCATTTAATTATACAGGCGCAGATTTCTATGCTCTATGCTCTGATGCAATGTTAAAAGCAATGGCTCGAACAGCCGAGGCTGTTGAGACAAAAATTGGTAGATCTCGTGAATTTCGTATTATCTAGATATTTAAATACTTCTAACTCATTCTATTTATTAACACTATATCTAAAGCCGTTCTAAATGCAAATCCTCCACATGACAGAAAATGGACTGGCCCGTTAACATCACAATACTATCTTGACCATCTCGCAACACCACAGGATATCTACGTAGAGGTGACACAACAAGACTTTGAACGTGCCTTAAAAGAATTAGTACCTTCTGTATCAGAAAAAGAACTCGAACATTATCGGCTGGTTCAAAAACGGTTTACACAACAAGATGGAAAAGACAAACAAAATAATGATCAAGAAAATACGAGTGCACCTAATCACCAAATTCAACAACAGACTGCAGCGTTTGATATCGATTGGAATAATGATAATAATAGCAGTGGTGGTAACGGAGTCATAAATGAAGGATTTGGTAATGCCAGCAGTTCAGGTATTAGTAGTAATGCTAGTAACATTAGTAAAGGAAAAGGAAAGGCTTAAGATGTGCGCACATGTTTTACTTGTTTGACATTATAAGAAAATATAAGTGTTTCATATTACAAATCAACGTTTTTCCTTATAATTTATATATAAAGGATCTTTCCTATTACAATTTCCTAAATGAGCTCATTCTAAAATCATACAGATGGTGGCGTATATTTCCTATTAAAAATCCTCATTATTTATACTATCGCTATGTATATGGTCATGTACATTCTAACGATATATACATGCATATATACTTTGACGCGATTCAATTTTAAATAAAGTGGTTCTGTTCAAAACGTGTTTTCTAAATTTCTCGCTTTTTCAATTACTCCAAAGTTTTCGCTAAGAAAGTACTTTACAGAATTGAAATTAGGCTTTTTTCTTGATAGTTAATACTTTTTAACTTTACTTGGAGATAATATTTCAACTCTTCTTAAAGTTTTCACAATTCACATTTGAAAATGCTGAAAGTTGTTCTTTTCTTTTTTTTCTTAATTTTATTTGGTAAGTTTTTTTATACTGTTTTCAAATCCTAATGTGATATGATAAACTAACGAAATTTCATTATATATTCTAGTATTATATTACTTTCGAGCACAAATACTTCCATCGATTCTTCCTCGACTACAAAGTTATAGGCGCTTGCCTGCGTTCTTCTCTACAACTTCTTTTGAAACAGATATTGAAGACGGTTTGACTTCTGAAACGTTTGATTTATCACAAAACTTGCATGACGGAGATTCAAGAGCGGGTCTCGAAGACTCGGACGAAATAAAGAAGATTATGAAACAAGAGGGGATCGGGTTTGACCAAGCCCGTTTGATAAGGCAACAACAAAAATTCAAAACCAATAATATCGACCCGCAAACTGGGGTTCCAAAAGATCCGAAATTTGTGTCTTTTTCATAATTTATTATGATATGAACATTTGTTATTTATATTCGTATTTATTATGTAAATTTGATTCGTATTTAGTTATAATAATAGATGAGTTATATTATATATACTTATCAGATGCGATCACTAATTTGGTACTTGTAATAATGTAAAGAGAATAAATCCTTTCATTTTTTCCAAAAGGCCGACAATTTCGACTGTCCCGGCATCACACTATTCTTCTTTTTGCTAGTCTTTTTTGGCTTTTCTGAATTTTCAGTGAGAGGCTTTTCTGATTGCTGTTGCTGCGGCTTAGTTGTCATTGTTTTAGGTTTAGGTTTATAAGTAGGTTGTGGCGGTGGCGTTTCAAAATCATCCTCGGAATAAGATTCCGATTCATAAACATTCTCAACAACTAGGAAATATCAACAACATACATATTAATATATTTTTATGATGATTCGAGATAGCAGATAATATTCTTTTCAATTACCGTCATATCCACGAGAGTTTTTTGATGTCCTTTGTTTGGCAATTTTTCGTTTTGCACGTCGACGTTTCGGAATTGATTCTTGCGATGTTATTGTGGTTTGTTGTTCTTGTGATGGAATATATGTGATTGTTGATATTTCATCAATGTCCATAGCGTCACCACCACCATCATCATCATCAATAATATTTATTGAATCGTGATGTTGCTGTTCTTCTTTCATACAAGTGTCCTGCATTGATTTTGAATCCTCGTCAATAATACAACCATTGTTTTCCATTGTCATCTCATTCATGCTTGCCAATCGACGATCTCGTTCCTCCTCATTCTCCTCATCTTCGTCGTCTATATATTAATGTTTCTTAGTCATGCATATAACAAAAAAATGTTATTGTTATTTATTACCTGATATCTCCACAATAATCCTCTTCTTTGGTGGCATTTTACCAGCACGTTTATTATTATTATTATTATTATTGTTGTTGTTGTTGTTGTTGTTATTATTATTATTATTATTATCATCATTATTATTATAATCAACAACTGGTTCTTTTGACTTCTTCCCGGTGATTTTCGAGGCAGTCTTTGTCTTTGGTGATGTTTTTCCGTTAACTTTTTTGATGTTGAGCGATTTCTTATCAAGCAAAGCCTTTGTTGAAGTTTTCAATCTGGACGACGTTTGACTCTTTGACACTAGAGAGTTTTCAGCGTGCCGTTGTTGTTGTGAACTACTCTTATTTGATGGTTTCGAGTGTGCTGATGATGATTGTTGGTTAACAGTAGAAGTATTAATCGAATGAGGTTTTTTTTGAGAATCTTTGACTGTGATGTTTTTATTATTAATAATTTGATTTCTTAAATTATTGAAATTAAATTAGTTCAAAACCTTCCCTTAAATAAGCATACATAAAATTTGTAATTTTAGCTTACATTGTTGTCGGATCATTTACTGTTAATGTTCGAAATTCACGATTTGTAGGAACAACTACAGATGAATTCTAAGAATTATTTGTGAAAAAAGATTAGTTAATCACACAATTAGCAACGTTTTATTAAGACTAAAACTACTAACAATGGGCTTAGAGAGTTGAATACTGTATACATGAACACTTGACAGTGATTTAAATGCGCTTTTTGTGGCTATACATAAAAGAATTTCAACATTGCGAGTTAATGCGTTGTAATGCATGCATTTGAATGTAATTTCATAAGAAAATGACATACATTCAAGTTCTTCTTGGGGCACGAGGGTAACAAGCGACCGGTCATCTTGGGTTATTCCACAGAGATAGAAAATGGCGTGAACTCCTTTTTCAGAAGTTGATTGTGTATTTGCAAACTTCAAAAGTATTCTGCATTGTTGTATAAAGAAATAATTTATTTGCTATGATCGATCGTATCTCGTGAAAAGAAGTCACTCACTCACTGTTTAGCAATGTTCAGGTGTACGCCGAGATACTGGCCAAGGCATTTGTAAGAAACCTAGTTTGTAAAGTATTCCCCAATCAATGAATAAATGAAATTAAGCATACTCGTTCTTTTCTGTAAAAGAAGACGCATAAAGGCCTGGACGCGTAACAAGTTAACGGCCTCGTCTATAAACTTTATTTTTACGTACAACACGTTCCTCTTCAAAAATGAGTGAATTGAGCACTTGTAGGTATTTGTCGAAAGAAGACATTGTATGTATAGACCCTTTAAGGTAAAAAAGGAACAAAAATTTGTAAAGAGAACGCGAACTTTATTTGCCTGTAAATAATTAATTATAAAACAAACGTGACATACAATGGATGTTGATCACTCCTAAGTTTTTACGCTTAGATTTTATTTACAGATCTTTTACTTTTGTCGAGCTAAATATGGCGGTAAGCTCAATTTACTATGTCGAATAGTTCATTCTAAGGCATTATAAAATTGTATTTCTCAACTTAAAATGTTTCATTTAGTTTGATCGACAAAAAGACGAAAAATTAGTTTTTGAAACTAGCGAGGATGTTAAAGTGTCAGTATTTAGTTAAAAAATCTATTTTTAAATAAAAGTAAGCTTAATCATTAACGGGGGTTTTTTTTGTTTGTAATTACAGAGTGCCAACATTTGATTCTATCGGGTTAAAAGAAGACCTTTTAAGAGGGATTTATGCCTATAGTGAGCACCCTTTTTAGATAATCATAAATTTGAGATTTACAAAGACCCTCTCGATATAACGACCTCTTGATATACAACGACCACTAAGTAAATCGCGTTATAAGGAACCAAAATTTTACAGAAGTATAGTAAGATCGTTATATAAACATAGTAATTTCGATATAATGAACATTTTAAAATTTTTCTCCGTGCCCGGAGGCGTTTCTTATATCGAGAGTGCCTTTGTACCGAGAAATGTGAAGTAAATTTTATTTATTCAATTAAAATATTTTTGATCTTGTCAGATTTTGAAAAGCCCTCAGCTATTCAACAAAGGGCCATAGTTCCTATCATGAAAGGACGTGATGTGATTGCTCAAGCGCAATCCGGCACTGGTAAAACAGCAACCTTTTCCATTTCCATTTTACAATGTATCGACACAACAATCCGAGAGACTCAAGCACTTGTATTATCACCTACAAGAGAATTAGCGACACAGATTCAGAGTGTAATTCTAGCACTTGGTGACTACATGAATGTCCAGTGCCATGCTTGTATTGGGGGTACAAGTATCGGCGAGGACATTCGGAAACTCGATCACGGACAACATGTGGTCTCCGGGACACCAGGCAGGGTATTCGATATGATCCGACGTAGAAATCTTCGTACTAGACATATCAAAATGCTAGTACTAGACGAGGCAGATGAACTATTAAATAGAGGATTCAAGGATCAAATATATGATGTCTATCGATACTTACCCCCGAATACACAAGTTGTCCTGTTGAGTGCTACTTTACCTTATGATGTTCTGGAAATGACCACAAAATTCATGACGGAGCCAATTCGTATTCTGGTGAAACGTGATGAATTGACACTGGAAGGAATCAAACAGTTTTTCGTGGCTGTTGAACGCGAAGAATGGAAGTTTGATACTTTATGCGACTTATATGATACTTTGACTATTACTCAGGCTGTCATCTTTTGTAATACACGGCGAAAGGTAAAGCGTTTAATAGCGATTCAATTATCATCACATTTAATATTATTATTTTATTGTCTATTGTTCTATTAATAGGTTGATTGGCTGACTGATAAAATGCGAGAAGCAAATTTCACAGTTTCCTCTATGCATGGAGATATGCCACAAAAAGAACGGGATGCAATCATGCAAGAATTTCGACAGGGTGCGAGGTATTTATTTATTTATTTTTATCAAAATGTTACGTATTTTAATATTTTCCATTTTTAATATTTATATTTCTAATTATATTGTTTTAGTCGAGTGCTAATCACGACAGATGTGTGGGCTCGCGGAATTGATGTGCAACAAGTTTCTCTAGTGTAAAGATACTTTTTTTAGTTAGTTGATTATATTTACTTGGGAGACTAATTAAAATTTAATTATATAGTATAAATTATGATCTGCCCAGTAATCGTGAACTTTATATTCATCGTATTGGTCGGTCAGGACGTTTTGGAAGGAGAGGTAATTATCAGATATCAAATATTATTTATGAATTTTATTAATCTGAGATCGACATTATATATACAATTTACCGTACATTATGATGCAATAGGTGTTGCTATCAATTTTGTGACATCAGAAGATGTGCGTATTCTGCGTGATATTGAACAGTATTATAGTACACAGATCGATGAGATGCCTATGAACGTACAGGATTTGCTGTAGATCTTTGTTATGTTGGCACGGATGATAATGATGCGGTATTAGTGATTTATTAGTTTCTAAAAAGTTTATTTTGGTGTCGTTGTTCTTTATTGGGATGTAAGAATGATAATAGATTATGGTTGGTTGGTTGATTGATTGATTGATTGATTGATTGATTCATTCATTGTTTGTTTGTTTGACTAGTAATAGCCAAGAATGGAATATTTTGTTTGATTGACTAGTAATAGTCAAGAATGGAATATTTTGTTTGGATCATATAAAATACACGTACCAATAACAATTCTTGGCAATTGGTTCCTTTGAGCCAAATAATGAACATTCTTTTACACTTCTGCTACAATTGTTATTATTAAGATGGAATCGTATTATAAAAATGATACACTTGAGCTTTATCAAATACGCCAACTTTTGTACCACAAATTTCGCATTCCACCGGAAAGTAGATATCATTGTCATTGATGTGATTTGACGATGATGTCGAAATGACTTTACAGTTTTCAACGAATATTGCTCGATATTGGGTGGTATATATTACGTGTCTTTATTGTTATTTTGGAGGCGAAGTTTTTGACCGAGAATAACGATAATAATTGAATGAATGAATGTATTATTAGATAATTATGATTTCATATATATATATATTACTACTTGGCGTTAATACCTCTGTGTATGGTAGCTAAGTGGAGTGAAGCATAATGGACACGAAAGAATTGCGTCTGTTTGCAATTCGGATTCCTTCAGAGACTTTTTATTGTCTTTAGTTATTATATTCTCTAATTTAAATATATTTTCCAATTTAAATATAATAAAAATTAGAATTGCGAAAAACAAAAATTAATTACTTGAAAATTTTCTCTGCATCCAAATTTCATCTTTCTCGTCCAAATCAGGGTCATACAAAAGCTCGTCATTACTAGGTTTCTTGCACTTTTCGATTGTAGATTCTTGGAGAAAAATTTAAAAGTTCATTCAACATTGTATTTTTTTGCTTAAATAAAAATAGAAAAATACTTTGCAATTCTTCCTCTTCTTCCTCTTCTTCAGAATCGAAGTAACTCTCATCATAATGCTGCTGTTCTTGTTCGTCGGATTCCGGATTGTCATTTATCTTGTGGCCTCCTGACGACCGCGACATTTTTCACTGCATTCACACATTGAGGTTACAAATCATATGGTCCATTTTGGGTATAGTATACAATACATGTGGTATCTTATTATATATTATACTACCAATAGCCCATAGTGTTTGGCTATATATATACAACATGTAACAAATAAACATTATATACAACGTGTAACAGATAAACACCTGAACACAAATAAACATTATATACAACATTCTGTCGTTAAAAAACTGGACTGATAAAAATAATTTGTAATTACCTTTCAAAATTTAACGGTTTTCATGTTGAATTTATCTAGATGTTATTTTCTACTCTACTTTCATAGAATCTATTCTAACTCACAATAAAAAGTACACCAGCTTTCGCTAGCGCTACTACAAGCAAAACAAAATCGCCCAGAAAATCCAACTACTCGAATGGCCGTAACTTATCAACCAAAACGCAACTCCATCTCCACCCCACCGCGCGAAGAATACAAATACGTAAGACCAGATACAATAGACGAAGATCTCTACTGCTCAATTTGTCACGACGTCTATGACATTGTGAAACGGACAAGACGCTGCAAGCATTTATTTTGTCATTCTTGCATTGTTCAAGCACTAGCCAGTAACCGAAAGTGTCCCATATGTAGGGCTCCTTGTAAGGAGAGTGAGCTACAGCCCGCGGTTAGGGTTCAGATTGGGTTGGATCAGTTGAGCGTGTATTGCACGTACTCTCCTGACTGTGAGTGGCAAGGAACACGCGAAGCGCTTCGTCAACATTTGCAGGTGTTTATTTAATTATTATTATTATTCTCGCTGAAAATATCATAATTGTAATTTATTTATATTGATATTATTTTTATGTTCTTCTTTTTAGTTAATGTGTCAGTTCATCCCTGTAAATTGTAACGAACACGAGGATCACCCTCACTGTAAGGAGGTTTTTTTAAGAAAAGAAATAGAAAAACATCGTCAGGAGTGTACCTTTAAAATGATGGCGTGTCCGTTGAAATGTCCCAAAAAGTTTTCTAAAATGGAAGAGGTTAAGGTAAATAATTAATATCTTATATGTAAATCTCATATCTCTTAATTTATTATGAATTTATCTACCTAAAATCATACACAGGAACACTGTGAGGAAGACTGTATAAATCGTAAGGTCACTTGCAACCGATGTAAAGTGACGATATTATGCTATCAACTAGATGATCATGACACGATATGTCTTGGAAAAATAATAAAATGTCCACACAGAAATATTCTCGGAAGTTTTGGGGGCTGCACGGAAGAATTCGAACGAAAACAATTATCTGAACATTTAAAAACATGTAAATTTGAGCCATTCAAAGAAGCATTTCGTGGAATAAATATGTACATGATGACATTAGAGCGGAAAATAGAATTAATACAGCAAGAATATAAGGAAGAATTAAGTACACTATCCACGCTGAGATTATGTGCTGCCGATGTGAGGAGTACAGAACAGCTTCGAAATATTCTTAAATATAATCCTGCTGTTCGATCGCTTCATCTGATCGACTTTCAACCGGGACCACATTGTCTAATGTTGATGGACGTGATGATGGCAAATGAAACGGTTGAGAGTATCAATCTAAGAGGAAGTGAGATTGAGAAAACGGGGGCTGTGTTACTTGGGAAAGCGTTAAAGAACAATCATACAGTGCAAACTTTAATTCTCGCCGATAACAGTATTGGCGATCAGGGTGTAGAATATTTGTCAAAATCATTAGAGTCAAACAAGACACTTCGATATTTGGATTTGGCAGGAAATAATATTGGAGATAAAGGAATGGAACGTTTCTGCCGATTTTTGACATCCAATTTCACTATAGAGCAGCTTGATCTCTCTTGGAATAATATTCGTAGTAAAAGTGTCGAAAATCTAATACCTGTGCTCGAACACAAACGATGTAATATACGAATTCTTGAGCTTGGCAACAACGAAATTGGTTATAAAGGTGCTGAATCCATTGCAAAGACCCTAGAAGTCAATCAATCTCTCATTTCTCTTGATTTAGACCACACTAAAATTGGGACTAAGGGATGCGAAGCGATCGCTAAAGCTTTAGAAAAAAACAATACTCTGCAGAAATTGATACTGGCCGAAAATTACATTGAAGATCGAGGTGCCGAAGTGCTCGCCGATGGATTACTATTAAATTCCAGTATATCTATTGTAGACCTTGAAGGGAATATGATTGGTGATGTAGGAGCTAATAATATCGTTAAGGCAATGGATAAATCTGCTGCTTTGGCATTTGCTCAAAGTCGTGAATTTGGAAATATGATGCGAACAATTTATCTTCGACGAAATCAAATTAGTCGGATTGGATTACGGAATGCCACAAAGTTTGTAAAGTATGTTAGAGTTATAAGTGATCGCGGTGAGAAGTGATGATCAGAGAATGTATTTTTGGATTTATGCATACCTTTATCTTTTATTTATTTTATTAGATAAAGTGGACAATTATGCGTTATAATTATAATACTGTATTTACCAATTATTTTCATGAAGGGTTGGTTCGTTCTTCCTTACATTACTTTTACATTTGGTATATTTATTCCTTTTAAGCTTTGACTGTTCTTATTCTACCTAGCCACCCTCTTTTTTGTATATCATATTTTGCATTAGAATATTTTACATATTCTTTATCATTATTTATATTACCACACACACTATATCATCAATCTTCATTATTGATGCATACTGTACATATCTTTTTAAAGTCACCGCATATATTTGCGATTAAGATAGAATTTATAGAGTAAACAAGTTATTTATTGTTGATCTATTTATTTAATGATGATAAAATGAAAGTTGTTTATTAATAAATTAAGTAAATACAAATGAATTGGTTATTCGATATACTAAACTCATCAATATATGTCTGCATAACATCGAAGTGCTATAACAATGACAATAGTAATAATAATAATAACAATAATAATAATAATAATAATAATAATAATAATAATAATAATAATAGCTATCTCGCACCAACAAAAAATTTTAACTATCCGACAGTGAACCTTCTGATTCTGATGGTGTTTCGTAATCATCATTCAGTTTCTTTTCCGGTGCTTTATTGATTTCATTATCATCTTCAATTTCTCGATTCTGATGCTGTTGTTCCTCTTTTTTAACTTTTTCCAAAAAATTTCTTTCATCTTGAATCTTAAATTTGTAATATGGATTATACTCATTCCACGGCAAAAGAAAACTGTATTTCGGATCGTCGATGTGTTGTGCACGAATTTTTGATTCAATAGACGGGCCACTTTTGGCAATGTAGGCTGCGAGCTCATCGATCACGAGCTGAATCTCGGGTGATGGTACACTTAAACGAGGAGTAATTTTTAGTCTACAATATAAATTGATACTCAAAGGGAGTATTCTAGAATAACATAATAAAACTCACACAGCAGGTCCGTAAGGTTTAGGTGGAGGTTGAGCTCCAGAAGAAGGCTTAGACGTATTTATTCCATTCGGATGATGATGATCTAGTATTTGTCCGTTTTCCTTCTTTACACATTGCCCTTCTTTGGAATCAACTACCTCATCGGTTATATTCTGTTGATCCAAAATCTGTGGCGATTTTTCATCACTTGTTTCAACTTGTGGTGGTAGTTCACTCACTGCTTCTTCTTCATCATCATCCTCTTGGCTTGATTCACTTTCGTCGCTGCCATTACCATAAGCAAATAACCCGGTTTGCAAGAGCAATCTGACATGTTTATAATATGGATACAATGGATCGTCTTTATTCAGAAAACTGAAGCTCGGATTATTCGCCTGTTTCGCTTCCAGTACAATTTCTATTTGTGGGTCATTACTGGTATTGAGAAATCTTGCGGTTCTTTCAATTATTTCATCGACTCTTTCGCTTTTCGGCTTTTGAAACAAAGGTAAAGTTTAATAAAGGACGATGAATTTAGAAACTAAAATATTTAATTTATATAATTAATAATACCGTAACCATCTTTCGCGGTACAACAAATTTGGGCGTATATTCAGAGTTCTCGATAGCATTTACTTGCTTTTCTGATTTTTCTTCTGTAGAGATACCAAATAACATATATAAGACGTAAACTTCAATCATTTGATTATATTTGTAAGAATCAAATTACCTATAGTCTCTTGTTGTTGTTTGTCTTCTGAATATTCATACGCGTATTCTCTATCCTCCTCTTGCATTCTTCGTCTCTTCCTTTTTTCTTCTACTCGGTAATTTGATAAAATACAAAACTCAATACAAATATAACATCCGACTAACTGATTCTCTAAAAGAATGATTACCAATGTACACATCTCGTTCTTCCTCCGAGAAATCGTACATTTCCTCCGCTTCAGAATCCAAATCCGCCCACCGCTCTTCATCACACAACTTCTCCTCTTCAATTTCTTCTTCAGTCTGCGAGAGACTATAAATCACTTTGCGAAATTGTTCACGATCGTCAAGTAGATTTCGCGCGTCATATCTATTATTTTTTGAATATTAAAACGCGCGATATAATTGAGCGAGCGTTTTAATATAGAAATTAAAATAGATAAATCAGCGATCTTAGTATATTATAATGATAGAGAGCCACTGTGGCCTTTCTATCCGACCAAATTCTCTGGGTTATTAGCCAATATAGCCTCATAACTGCCCATTGGGATATACCATACTACTTATTAGAGAAAAATAACCGATCCGGCAGTAGTAGAAGTAGAAAAGCTGTTGATTGATCTTCTTAGTAGGGCTCCATATTAATTCATTCATTCATGATTGACGAACCCCTCTTCTTTATACTAATTATTTATTATTTTGTATGTAAATATATTTTTGTGAGCTGTATCTCTCACTCTCGACATTGTGTGCTACCTTCAACAAACCTCTAAGGAAAAGTTAGTTTTTGAGTTGTTACGCGTCACATAAAAAACAAAAATTCAATCAACGGTGGTTATTTTTCAAGTGAAGTAAGTTTAAAAAAAACCACTCGAGATTTCGTAGTGTCACGCACTGTTTTTTCTAACTTGTTCGCTCTGCGCTTACCTATCCAATAAAATCCGGTTCTCGGTGGTGTCCTCGCCACGCCAGGGAATCAAGAGTTCACCATCGTTGATTTTTTTGGCCATTTCATCATCACGGAATGCTTTTGCTTCATAGCCAAACACTAAAAAGTCTTCGTAGTCAGGCGGACTGCTTGTGCGCTGTTTTTTGCGTTGATGTCTGTTTCGGCGAGCTCGGACCCTGTTAGCAGAGGAAATCCGTGTTGGTGGTCCTCCCTCAAGTTTATCTTTGTCTTCTTGAGAAGAAGGTTTCTCAGGTAATAAGGTCTCGCTAAAGAACATTGGTGTTGACATACTAATACTGCTTTGCTATATCGATCGACTTGAAAATACTGTATTAAAAACATGTGACTTAATTTGATCACACAATGTGAAAAATCTGGTTGGGCAATCTCTGACGCGTATTTAAAATTTGTTCGCGTTTTTTGCGATAACTATGGATAGGACAGACAATGACGAAGACAGTTTTCTTCAATATCTAAATAGTCTTGAGGATAATGGGAACAATCAAAGCAGCAGCGATATACCAACAAGCTTTAAAACGCCGCAGATTTTAAAGTCACAAAAGAATGACAGGAATTACTTCGGAGTAAAGTCACAAGCAGTTATTCAGGCATCTATTTTTTTGACTGTTGCAAAGCAATACATATATTTTATGTTTTTTCTTTATTTGAACAAACAATAAAGCTTAATGCTAAACTTCTAGAAAAGAACCAATACTATTACCGTACCAAAACCTTTTAAATTTTTGACGGCTGAACGTGCTCAAAGAAACGAAGGTATATGTAATGTGTCTAATGACGCAAAGTCACCATATACTCCGTTAGTTAAAAGAATTCAAGCGTACTTGGATGAAACACCGGACCGGTTTAAACCACAACCGGTGTCGAAGGCAAATAAAAACATTAATATTAATTTCAATTCAAAATATGCAATCAGATTATTCATTCTATTATATATTAACAACAAAATAGCCTGTTGAGCTGCCACAATATAAATATTCGTCGACCGTTGCTAAATCTCCTTTTCTATTAACCAAAATAAGAGCTAAACCGACTTCGTGAGTAATAATCGAAAATAGTTCATTAAATGGAAATCTATGGTAATTGTAACCAAGACGATTTTTTAATATTAGAGTGCTGCCAACCGAAGAACGTGAAGCTATTGAAGCTGAAAAACACGAATTTAGGGCGAGGCCTGTAAATCGACGAGTATGTCTTCATTTTGTTTAATCAAATTAAAATTTTTTCCTAGCTTCCAAAGGAATAATCCACTTTTTCATAGATATTTGAGTTTGCGGGTGAATTAGGAGTTCCGACGATCGAAAAGCTCATTCCAACGATACCAGAATCGCCAAAAATAACCAAGCCCAAACCAGTACCACCTAGAAAGCCATCTCCTCCGCATCTCGTCAAAGCGAATCCAGTGCCCGATTATGATAATCCTTTTAGGCCGGTCATTGAGCATCGAAAATTGTTCCCGCCCGAATTTTCGTTGCCAGGTGATGAAATAACAAAACGAAAAGTGTGGGATCGAGAGGAAAGGATTAAGCGAGATTTGGAGGAACAGGAAAGAGCAAGAAGATTTCGAGCGCAACCTCTTCCAAGTGATTCTCCCGATGTTAGTAAATAGCATGTATTTTCGTCATTTGTCAACAATTACTTATTGTGATGTCCATGATCTATTTTTCACCCAGCATTTTCCAAGACCACCGCATCAAACACCAACACAACCAAATCCTTTTATTTTACAAACAGACATACGCGGAGAAGTATATCAACAATATTTTCAAGAAATGGTGAATCGTTCGGAACAAATCGAAAAGGAGAATAAAATATTCCACGCGAGGCCGGTTCCTAATTTCGACCAGGTCATTCCACCGCCCAAACCCGAAAAACAAAATCCTACTGAGCCTGTGGAATTCAATTTTTTGACCGATTTACGAATTGAGAAACATAAACAAATTGAGGAAGAACGCAAAAGGAGAGGAACGGAGGAAAAGATGCTCAAAAAGGAGAAACAGAGAGAAGAAGAGGTATATCGATTTTTTTTTACTTGCGATTTTTTTTGGCATGATAAGTGATAAATAGTTATCTTTTTTATAAATAAGGTTAGAAGAGGAGCTGAAATTCGTAAATTGCGCTCAGAATTAGTACATCATCCTGAACCAATCAGGCGGTATACTCCTCTGAAAATCGAGCCATCAAAAAAAAGACTTACAAAAGCAACATCTCCTCTAATTGGCGAAAAGCGACGACGATATTTAGAAGAATCATCGAATCTTTCAAATCTTTCATTCTTTTCACCTCTTAAATCGACAAAAACATCAACAATAATGAATGATTATAAATACAACTACGATCAAGAGCAGTTGCAATTGACAAGCATCTCTGAAGAAAATAACAGCACGCAAACTTCGTTGCAACAAGAAAATTACGATCAACTGCAACGATCTCCGTTTACTGCTCGTACTGCTACTGCAACTGCAAAACTAATGGAATTGAATACTATTGATGAAGAAAACCTCTCGGAACTGTCTGAAGAGTTCAGAAATCTCTAAATTGATAGATTGGATTAGTGATTTTATTATCAGTCAATGAAAATGTCCCCTGAATTGCATATAATTATAATTTAGATCATTTTTTTGACTTGTTGGCGTTTAATATTCACGAAAAATTCAAGTAAATTTATGAAACTTTATTTTTGTAAACTCAAAAATAAATTTCTTTTAATAATAGGTTTCTATTAACCTATCAAATAAAAATATAGGTGACGATTTTTCTCAAATATAAATGATTGTTAAGTAAAAGTAAAATTTATTCTTAATTGATTTTATATTCATTCACTTTATATTCTTTATTTAATTGTAATAAGTTGATATTTGTTTCTTGATTTGATGATAATTTCTTGATTTTTTGTGATTTTTATAAATTATTTTTTCTGTTCCTATTTTTTTTGTTGAGTGATTAAATATTTAATATCTTGTTTTTAAGTCACATTTGCCAATTTCATAATCATCAGTTTTTTAAATTTTTTTTATATTTTGTATATAATAATAATATATCATATGATTTTTAATGTGAACCAATAAAAATATAATACATAAAATGTTCAAAAAGTTATTTACTTGTTGAGTAACATTATTATTTTTTGTTTTTTACAAGTAACTATTCTTATATTCAATCTTTGTAATAGTTTTTTCTCTTAAAATTGACATTATTAATAATAATATCATTTTTATTTTTTTTATTAAAAGAAAAATATCTTTTATTAAGAAATTTTTAGAAAAAAAAATCAATAATGATTATATAAACAATATAAATAATATTATATAATATATCAGGTGAATTTGAATAGACTAAGTCTTATAATATAGTGTCTGGTAAAAATATCACAGCACTAATAATTTTTGATAAATTATCTGTAAGTTTCTAAAATTTTATATATATATAGTACATTACAAACACTGATTATTGATATCTTTTTATTGATTGATAGAGATTTTATATCAAATATTATATGTTCATAAACTTTCATAATACAAGTATAATTAATTATTTCATAATATATATTCTGATATTCAATAATCTAATTCTTAACATTCAATGATTTGATTTGAATAAAAATATTACTGTTCAATTTATCTTGGCCAAATGAATTGAATAATAGTATTTTTGTTCAAATTAAATAACTGAATATCAAAAATTTGCATCTTAAAGTAACAACTTTATTTTTTTGATATAACAAAAATAAATCAATTAATTTAGAACATGATATTTTGATTTTTCATAATCTGAATCAAATAAAAATAATTTGTCTTGGTCAGACTAATATTATTTTTATTCAAATAGGATTATTAAAAATCGAGATATATATATATTATATTCAATTCATTTTTAGGTGATTAATTTCTAATAAAAAATTAATTAATAAATTATGAATCAGTTACTTTAGTATGCAATATTTTGACATCTAGTAATCCAATTTGAGTGAAAATATTATAATTTAATTTGTCTAGATTAGACAAATAAAATTCTGTTCAAATTAGATCACTGGATATTGAAATATTATGTTCTAAAATAATTAATTTATTATATTTAAAGTATGAAAGTTTATGAACATGTCATATTTGATATAGAATCTATTAATCAATAAAAAGATATCAATAATCAGTATTTGTGATATATATATACTATGCAATAAAATTTCAATGATCTATATATGATCAATTAAAAATTATCAGTGTAATAATATTTTTATTAAGTACTATAAATTGAAATTATCTAATAATAAATATTTTTCTTAAAACTTGTTTTTTAAATTTATCTATTAATTTATTATTTTTATTATTTTTTTAGTTTACTTTTTATTATACTCATCTTTCTTTTTATATACATATATATATATAAATATATTAATAGTATCAAATCAAAATAAATACTTCAAATATTATCTAATAATTATTAAAAAATACAATCAAATTCTTTTATAATTATTACTTTCAGAAAAATAAAATTTGATAATTATAAAGAAAATATAATTATAGAAAGATTTTTTACTATATTTATATATAAATGAAAAAGCAAAATAGAGTAACTATAAATAAATATAATTATAAAAAATTTAATTATACTAAAATAATATTAAGTTAAATTTTGATAATGAAATATTAAATAAATATGTTAAATCAAGTTTTAATATTAGTTTATTAAAATTTTTGAATAATAATCAATTTATAAAAAATTACAAGAATTAAAACTTAATATATTAGAAAAATTTATCAAAAATATAAAATAATCAAATATATATATATATATATATATATATAAGTAATAAAAGAACAGAAATAATTTTATATAAAACATATTCTTTTTGATTTATAAAATAATTATTATTAATAATATAATAATTATTAGAAAATAAAAAATTATTACAAAGAATAAAAAAAATATTAAAATAACATTTCTTTTAAAAAAATACAAAATTACAAAAAAATACTATTATTACTAATCACAAAAATATTTATTATCAAAATAGTAAAATATAATAATACAGAAAAGATGAAAAAAATATTATACTTGCTTAAAAACAAAATAAAAATATATTAAAATCTTCAAAACTTATACTAAAATTATAATACTTTACTAAATAGAATTTTTAATAATAAAGTATTTTTTTTAAAAAAATTAGAAAAATAAATACCAGTTAAAAAAAGACTTAATTTTGATAAATTTTATAATAAAATATAGTAAAATATAGTAAAATATAATAAAAATAATATTTTTATTATATTTTATTATGAAATTTATCAATAAGTGTCAACTAAAATTTTTTTAAATTGCAAATTTATTTTCTATATTTTTAAATATATTTTTATAAATTTTTTTATACTTGCTTATAAAAAATATTTTTAAATAATTTTTTATAGCTATTTAACCAAGATAATTTCTAGCTCACTATCTTTAATATGTGATTTTACAAAATATTATTATATTAACACACTTTGTGATTTTAAAAAAGTTTGTTTTCATCATTTTAAAGAATATAATACCAAATTTTTGTAAATTTCTTATTAAGTTATAGATAAAAAATATAATTATTTCTTAATTAAAATAACTTTATTAAATAAAATCTAAAATATATATAGTAAAAATTAAAAATTAAAAATAATATAACAATATTAAAATTTATTAATTAAATATAATAAAATATGAATTTTCTTTTTATATAAAAGTTTTTAATTTTACTAATAAATATTTTTTATTTTTATATTAAAATAAAGATAATATTATTATATAATGAATTTTGATTAAATATTTTACTGGATCATTTATATTTAATATTATTAAATTATAAATATCTCAAACATGAATTTGTATAGTTGACAAAATATAATTTGAACATGTATAAAAGCAACATGTATCATAGTTATTAAAATTAGATTAGAACAAGTTTTCAATAGTAATATTTCTAATTATTATCTTATAGTTAGTTATTATATATTTTTAATTATTCATACAATCAAAGTTTGCACTTTATATAGAGTAGGTAGGCAAGCACAAACTTCTCTCTATATTCTTTAACAAAGTATTCTTGTTTTTTGTATAATTACTTCAGCATATTTGCTATAAGTGTTATATAATTCTTGAATTAATATTATAGTAACTTAAGCATGTTTACCAGAAGTATTATATAAGATATTATTTTAATATTAGATTCTCTGAACATATTTGTAACAAAATCTATTGAATATTATATTAAATAAAAAAAATCATTATTATAATTTATAAATCTGTCTTTGAGATTATATTACTAATAACACATTACTCATAAATTTATCTTTAATTTTATATTGCTGATAATATGAATATTATAATCTTTATATCTTTAACTTTGAAATTTTGCAGACACTTTCTAGCTGTCCAGATTAATGCATTAAAAGAATATAATTGTTATTCATCTTTAAATAATTTTGTTATTAATACATTAATATATTTAGTATTTATTCATATTCAATCTAATATAAAGTATTATTAATACTTTAAATTATTGTAAAAATATTGAAAGTTTTCTTTGAATATTTCTTTAAATTTTATAAATATCTTTGAGTATTTCAAAAATCAATCAAAATGATAATAATATTATATATTTTAACATATATTTTTTTTTAGATTTTTAGGTTTAATCTGATAAAGTTGTTTTAATTACATATAAAGTCAATTATTTTTTTATAATTAAAATATATAAAAAAATAATTGACTTTATATATTATTAAATAGCTTTATCAAATTAAATCTAAAAAATCTGAAAAAAATATATTGTCACTATTTGATATTTTGATTATATATAAAAAATTATGTGACATAATTTTGATAATTATTTATATTTCCATTTATATTTATTTATAATTTTATTTTTAATTGAATTATTTAATTTACATATAATTTATTAAAATACCAATTAATTATTTTTAATATTGTATCACTTATTAATTTATTTTACTATTATAATATTATTGAATCTAAATTTATCTTATTTTAAATTAATTTTAATTAATATAGTGCTAATATCACTCTAATTTAAATTGTATTGCTTAGATTAAATTAATATTATACTTATTATTTCTTGATATTACACTTCTTCCAAATTAATTTTATAATTGTTTTTAAATAACATTATTCATTATATAGATCTGTATTATATTTATATATATTTAAATAAATATAATTTATCATAGAATAAAGTAATTCAGAAGTAATTAAAAAGTAATTGTAAAGTAATTTACAAGTAATTTAGTAGTAAATTTGAAAGTAATAAAAGTATAAAAATTAACTAATATTTCTAAATAATTTATTATTTATTTAACTTTGATTTATTATTTATTTAACTTTGACTTATCCAACTAGTGAAAGTCATCTTTTGTATTTTAATAAATCATTCACATTTTTGAATTATAAAATACTTGTCTAACTAATGGAAATATTAGAATCTATTTCTTTTTATACTCTCTCCTAATCATTTAGTATTTAACTCTCTCAAGTACATGAGGGTGAGTCAACAGAAACCAAGCAAATTATATATGTAATACATATATAATTTGCTTGGTTTTTGTTGACTCACCTTTGCATACAGTTATTATTATTATTTTTATATAATTCTTAATTAATTATTATAATTAATTAATAATAATAACAATATGTTAAAATATGTAATATTATCTTTATTTTAATATAAAAATAAAAAATATTTATTAGTAAAATTAAAACTTTTATATAAAGAGAAAAATCTATATTTTACTATATTAATTAATAAATTTTGATATTATATTATTTTTAATTGTTACTATATATATAATTTTATAATTTGTTAGTTATTATAGAAAAAATTAACAAATATTTTTTATTTTTATATTAAAATGAAAGTTATAATTTATATTTTAATATATATTTTTTGAATTTTTTAAATTGCATTATTACAAAAATTTTTTATAATTAATTTTATATTTTAATTATAAAAAATTTTTATAATTAATTTTATATTTTAATTATAAAAAATTTTTATAATAACTTTAAAACTAGAATATTTTTATTAATTAAATATAAAAAATTAGAAAAAATATATATAATAGCTTGCAAAAATAATATATCATTTTCAAAATTTATTAATAAAATATAATAAAATATTGAGTTTCTTTCTTTATACAAAAGTTTTAAATTTTACTAATTAAAATTTTTTATTTTTATACAAAAATACAAATAATAATCCATATTTTAACATATATTTTTTCAGATTTTTATATTTAATCTGAGAAAGTTTTTCTAATTACAAAGTAATTTGATTAATTTTTTTATATATTTTAATTACAAAAGATTAATTAATTTACTTTGCAATTAGAAAATTTTTCTTAGATTAAATATAAAAAATCTGAAAAAAATATATGTTAAAATATGAATTATTTGTATTTTTGTATAAAAATAAAACTTTTAATTAATAAAATTTAAAACTTTATATAAAGAAAAAAACTTGTATTTTATTATATTTATTAGTAAATTTTGAAAGTAATGCATTACTTTTATAAGTTATTGTAATAATGATTAAGAAGAATAAAATACTAAAACAAATTTATTAATAAAATATAATAAAAAAAATTTTTTTCAGATTTTTAGATTTAATCTGACAAAGTTATTCTAATTGCATATAAAATCAATAATTTTTTTATAATAAAAACATATAACAAAATTATTAACTTTATATGTTATTAAAACAATTTTATCAGATTAAATTTAAAAGTCTAAAAAAATATATGTTAAAATATATTTATTACATTATTTTTGACAATAAAGAAAATTAACTGTATATATATTATTATAACAAAAAAATATTAATTATTATAAAAAAATTAAATAACAATTCCCGAAAAACTCAATGTTCTCTATATATAGTCTTTGTTATTCTTTTGTTCAAAAACCAACTATAGATCTTAAATTTTGTTGATAAACAGGAATTTTGTTTCATCCATACAAAATAAAAAATGTCAAAATTCAAGTAATCAAATTATTTTTAAATGGGGTTGATGTTATATTGCAAATTTTTAAACTTTCAATTAACTTTGGTTGTTTATCATGGTAATGAATACATCAATATATAAAACTAAAAACTCCGAAAAAAATAATCGGTATATTAATTATAAATTTTATTTTTGAAACAAAACATTCACTCACGCTTTTGCGTAATCGATAATAAATGTTTAGATATGCATGGCAATTCAATTTCCACAAAATTTTATTACCTTTTTTATAATAGAAACAAATAAAACTCCACACTATAGTTGTAATGGCCCAAGCAGATAGTAGTATCTAACAAACGGGAACCTTCTTAGTACTTAGAATAAATATGGAAAATTGAATATCCTCACAATTTTTTGTATTTTGCATGGAATAATGATTATACTTTGCCGGTAATAAAAGGATGCAATAAAGCTTCCCTAACCGTCAATCTCTTCTCCGGATTAAGATTTAAGCACTTTTCGAGCAAGTCGACAAAGGCTGTTAATAGACGAAAATCTTCGTCCATCATGTGAGACGTTTTTGAAAGAAGTCGCATTTTTAAGTCTCTTGTGGGTTTGTTAATAACGAAGGTTTTAATGACCTCCTGAAGGAGAAATTAATATTAAATTAATATAAGATTCAGTATTAGTACGTATTTTGCGAAAATAATTTATTATTTACCTTGTTACTTATTCTATCTGTCTCATTTGCTAAGAAATTTAATTCATGATCAAAGTGTTGATCTACAAATTGTCCTTTTCTAAGCATTTTATTCGGAAATTTGCCCTTTAATTCCATCATCAATTTTAGCATTTGGTTGTTGCTTCGTCCGGGAAATAGTATTTTGCCCGTATATAGTTCATATAGAGTGCAACCAACCGACCACATATCAAGGGCGTAGTCATACGGGAGCCCGAGAACTAAATAATAAGATTAAGAATAAGTAAAGAAATAATATTAACGCCAAATAAAGAAACTTACTAATTTCAGGCGCCCTATAGAATCTACTGACGAGATACGGTGTGATATCATTTTCAGACGCGTCAGATGCAGAACCAAGATCGCACATTTTAAGTGTATTCTTTGATTCACTCACCTAATAAACATATTATAATTAGAATTGATCGCACATTTAAATTGATATCTATTCAATATAAAAGAAATAATAAATACCAAGATATTATCAGGTTTAATATCTGCATGCAAAATGTTGCATTTCTTTAGGAGCGAAAGAGCTGAAAAAAGTTGCTGAGCATATATACGAACAGCTTTAATGTTGATACCAACGTCTTTACCAAATTTTTTTAATACTTCTCTCAAATTCATACTGAAAATCAAAAATAATTAATAAATCTACAAACTAAGCTCAAACTACTATTCATATAAGTTTTCTTAGAGATTATTACATACCTCAAAGATTCAAATACCAAACAAAGATGCCCTTTGTGATCAAAATGTCGATACAGTTTAATCATGTGTTTTTTATTTTCTGGATCAGCAGCGCCAAGCTTCTTTAAGATATTCAGCTCTTTCATTCCAGCACGATACCTAAAACATAACAAATTGATATTAATATAAAATTTTTAAGGTTTAAAAATGTATCAAACTAAACCTACATTGTATCATTATTACGTATAATTTTAATTGCAACGTCGTTTCCTTCCAAATTATCTTTAGCTCGAACGACAGAGCTGAATACTCCCTTACCAAGATTACTGTACACATGATAGCGACTATCCAAAATTTCTCCGAGTAATACACCTATAAGAAAAATAATTAGAACTGAAGATAAATAGTATTAAAAGACTCGATCTTTCTAAAATACACTTACGATAATAGCCTTCAGCGTCATCATAATTATCCACTAAGCCAACATTATCGCCTTGAACTACAACGGGTACTGTTTTGACAATCTATATTTTGCCATCGATCAAATGGAAATTAACAAAGATAATTGGAAGAATTTAAATAATCACCATAAAGAATTAGAGAGCATCAACTGACCGGTATTGATTGTGAAGCAGCATTTTTTGACTCCGGAGTCGGAGCAAACATATCATCATCAGCAAACATATCAAATTCATCTTTTTTATTTGCAATATTAGTTTTTATGAGATCTTGACGATTGCTTTCATTGCCAGTTTCTTTGTAATCAGCAGCAAATATATCAACGATATCTTCACCACGTTGGAATCTTTCTTCTTCTTCTTCTTCTTCTTCAATATCTATGGGTTTTGTCAATTCTAATTCTTTTACAGATTTGTGATGAAGTTGTCTTTCATCGTCTGCTATTCTATCCTTTGTGGGATCGTAATCGGCTGCAGAGAATCCGGGCTGATCTTCACCAATAGCAAATTCATCGACGACTATACTTTCACCTTTGGTCAAAGAAAATACAGTCGGAGAGGCTGTGGTGGGAGTAGTCACAGGCGATGTTAATGACGAAGTATCTGGAATGTTATTTGAAATTAAAAAACCAGCTATTACGTAAATATATTGATTGATCAACCAAATTAATTAATCAATCAATCAAATTAAATAACATCAAATAATTATAAACCTTGCGACTCTATTTTCATCTGTATGGCATCGGATGCATTGGTATCTGGTAACGTATTTTTATCAAGGTTGAGTGTCAAATTCTCAGTTTTCTTATTTTTATATTTTTGTAAAATTTCAATTCGACGTTGACGCCTTTCCTCTATCAATCTTTCTTCATCCATTTCAGGTTCAAGCTCTGGTTCAACCGTTTCTTCGGTAACTGGCTGCTCTATTTTTGATGTTTGGACTCCATTTGACTGTGAAGCAGGCAACAACGAAGCACCAGAAGATGATGATTGACTATGTATAATGCAGAAATTATTGATTTGATTTTTGTATTTATAAAAATATAATTTAAGATTTATTACCTTGTAATAATTGTTCCAGTAGGTACATCATCAACTTCGTATTCAATGATGCGGCGCCCATGAGAACCACCACGACTGTCACTATACCTTTTTGAGACTTCTCGATGTTGTTCTCTATCTCGTCCATATCCTACTTCGGTCTCTTTACCGTATCCTCTATCCCCTCTGTCACTTCCTTTGATGGAGTCTCTGTGTGTATACCCGTGGTCACGATCAATTTCGTACCGACTTCTCGTATTCTTATCTCTTCGGCTTACGTATTGACGTCGTTCACTGTGGCGAGAAGATATATATGAACGAGAGGATGAATGATTATGAAGTTCATCGTCAGTGGACAATTCGTCTCTGCTGCGTTTATTTTTACGTAGAGATGATGCAGAAGGTTCAATACGATCGGTGGATATATCGCTATGATTGTCGTCAATTTCGACGATCATAGATTCGGTCGAGTTTAAGTTACTTTTACCTAAACCATCCTTACGACTTTTTTCACCTTCTTCAACTACACTTTTCTTTTTTTCATGGTGATGTCCTCGTCTGCTATAGCTTCTATGGTGTCCATGTTCACGATCAGAGTGTCGGCTGCTTCGAGTGTGTTTAGAAGAGGTAGTACGAGTTTCTTCTTTACTTTTACGATCTTTATCAAGGCTGTCTCTTTTACGGCGACTAGATTCTGCAGTAAAATATTTATCTCTGCTTACTGAATTTCGCCGAGTTCTGTTAGAGTCCTCACTCGCCTGACTTTGAGGAGAAGGTTGACTGGGGGCGGGTAAACCAGCTATGCCATTTGTCACTTCTAAATTTATTTTACCTATATCATCGGTCTCTTCACCTCCTGTTTCAAAGTCTTCAACTATCTCACCTTCTTCTGTTTCTGAAAGTGATAATTTAGGAGTAGGTGGGAAATCCATATTATTTATTGTTTTTAAGAAAAAAAATTTGTTTCAATGTATACACGAAACTTTAGCAGTAAATGTATCGTCCAAGCCTAATGTTGAAGTACCAAGTTATGTAACATAGGTCATATGATTTAATTATTCGAAAAGCTAATCATGTGATTTGCCTTTGTTATTTACAATACTTTTAGAAGTCTATAATTACTTTTGCCTAATCTGAAAACGCAGACTAAACCATCAATAAGATCTTTTTCGCAAATTTTATAAAATGGATCAGTTACACGTTGATTATTTAAATAAAGACCACCGTTTTTGATGAATTTTTGCGTTTCATTTCTCGTTTTACAGACATTAGCATTGCACGCCACTCGATCAACGCAAATATTCATGACGTTATCTTTAGGCGACGAAGTTAACCTTGCATCACCATTGAAAGCTTCAAGAAGATCGTAACCTTGAACATCTTCCAGAGAAGAGCCGAAAAGAATACGTGTGGCTAATTGTGCTTTTTTAAGTCCAATTTCTATAATAATATAAAAAACTCAATATTTTATTTTAATATAGCGACTCTCAATACCCACCATTAATTACCTCCATGGACCAATTCAGTAACTTCATTTGCCAGTTGAGTTTGCGCATAATGCTTTTCTGGCATATCCTAAGCATAAATTTTAGAACAGTAATAATTATCATGTGTTGAAAGTTTTCAAATAACTAATAAATAGTAAATAAATTTACCATGTGTAATTTTAGAATGTCATCTATTTGATGAGCATCCAATAAAGTGAACATGTGAAGATATTTTTTAACGTCATCATCAGTTGTTTTAATAAAATGCTAAATAAAAAAGAAAAATAAGAAATGATTTAAATTTGATCGATGCATGATAATAATATTTGAATTATATATAACCTGATAAAAATCATAAGCGCTAGTTTTATTCTCGTCCAACCAGACCGCGTTCCCGGCGGATTTCCCAAATTTTTCACCGGCAGAAGTTAATAATAATGGCATTGTGACACCATAAGCTTTTTCTTTCTGAGATTCTATATGGTTTTTTCTGTTGATAAGATCGATACCAGCAATAATATTACCCCATTGATCGCTACCGCCAAGCTGAAGAGAAAATAATTAATATAAATGCCACTAAACTCTATACCACGATAAAAAAAATAATGAGAAAGCAAATACTTGTATTCGACAATTAAAATGATTATAAAGATACCAATAATCATATGCTTGGAGTAACTGATATGAAAATTCTGTAAAGCTGATTCCTTGAGCATTTTCCATACGAACTTTGACACTAGAATTGCATTGATCAATTAAGTTTCGGTTCTTTTACTCGTAAATCTAAAACAAATTGTATTTTTACCTTTCCCGCGTCAACATTGATCCAATCCTGGCAAATCTTCCGATCTCTCGTAAAAAATCCGTGATCGACATATTCTCATACCAATTGTTGTTATTTAGTATTTTATAACTTGATTTTTTGATATCTCCATGTTTGGTTGCATAAATAATACCATTATTAAAAAATTTTTGAATCTGCACATCAAGGTGTTTAATATTCGATGTGATGGTATCGATCTCTAATATTTGACGTTCAGTTTTCCGACCAGATGGATCACCTATGGAGCCAGTTGCGCCTCCGAGCTGTATTTTGTTCGTTTATTGATTGATATTAATCCTCTATTACTCTTGTATAAATGCATCGATATGAATCAAGTTTTAAGAAGAATTAACTAAACTAATGCAATAACATTATGTCCCCGGACATAAAAATGTAATAAACCAATTAAAGTTAACAGATTGCCAACATGTAGACTAGAAGCGGTGGGATCAACGCCACAATAGATAGTTGCAGGCGAATTTACACGTTCCTGAACCTCAGGACTAGTAGTAAATTGCATGAATAATAAATAAGAATTGAAATTGTTGAGCTGCATGATATAGTAAAGAAATATATAAACCTTGTCAGCGCGTTCACTAGGCCTCGTTGATTTAATTCAGCCACAGCATTATTGTCATATAAACTTTTAACTGTTGCCGAAGATACGAAACTCCGGAAAAAATAAGTTGGTTTACTGTGTTGTATTCTCTTTATGAGAAGAGGGTATGTCTTATAAAGTTTATAAAAGTCACACGCGAATTTCATATCACTTGCGTTTTTTTTTTAAAGGAGTCGGAATTGGATCGTAGATCGGAAAAATGTTGAATTTTATCATTGCGGGTGTGATTGTCGTTGTAATACATCATTACTAAAATATAAAAGTAATTGTGTCCAGTTTGTCTGCCTTATATTACGCTAGGATGTCTCTTGAAAATTTTACTCAACCCATTCCAATTCCAACTTCCTCTTATGCCACCTTGGCATCTGAAGAACATTTCCCTGTTGTATCCAGTGAGAATTCGCATTCAACACGAAGAGACATTTCACCACCACAAACAGAAATTAGTGTACAACAAACACCTCATACTCGGTCACATATTTCTCAAGCGATCACCGTAGCTTCGACTTCTACTTTAAGTGAAGAGATTCCACAGCTTGATCGTCGCATTCCTCTCGACCAAATACAAGATAAAAGGTGTTGGATTTGCTTTGGTGAAGATAATGATAGTGAGGGAGCTTGGGTGCGGCCTTGCCGATGCACCTTAATTTGCCATGAAGAATGCTTATTACATTGGATAGCAGAATCACAACGTAGTACTCCTCTTAAGAGGGTTAGTAACCACATTTACGAATTTCAATATATGGGGTAGAGTCAGCAGAAAAAGGGACAAATTAATAGATTTGTCACCTTTTCTGCTGACTCCACCCCATATATATCTCTCTCTATATGGGAATTTTTCATCAATTTGATTTATCTTTAGGTTCGTTGCCCTCAGTGTAAGACAACGTATCATCTCTCTGAGTCAACAGCACCAATTTTGTATATTCTTTCATTTCTTGATTCTAAAATCCAGGCATCAATTCCGTATATTGGAATATTCGGTGCTTCATTTTGTGTTGCGATGGGGACTGTCGACTATGGGTTAGTTTACGAATGATTGTATTGTCATGACAAATTCAATTAAATTACCTATCTTATGAAATAGGGCATTTGCTTTGTTATCAATGGTTGGTGTTGAAGAAGGAGAACGGCTTTTACAAGAACCTTGGAGTTGGCGGATGTTTGTAAGTACGATTGATTACTTTAATTTTTTTTTAAATTCAAAACTTTTATGTATCCCAAATTGCAATATTTATTAATTATTCAATTAATTAATCTGTTTTAGTTCAGTCTCCCACTTATACCTATTCTTCTCATTTTCTCAAGAACACGAATCGCAGATCCACTAATGCCATTAGCCCCCCTTCTTTTTATCAGGAGCGATTCATTAACCTTAACTATGCCACCACATCCAACTGTCACTCTATCAATATTACCATGGATTAGAATGATGTATAATGGCTTATATACACGTCTCTTTGGTAGAATTGAGGCTTCATGGAGACGAGAAATAGAACCATATGTTCCTGAAGAAGGAGATGGAGCCAACGATAGAGGCCAAGATGTTTTTGATAGGCTTGAACGTAGAAATTTTGGTCGAACTATAGTTGGAGCTTTAACCATGCCTTGTAGGTTTTCTTGAAAGATATTCTTTTACTAGTATGTTACTTATATTTTAATAAACAATTTTATTCTTTCCAATCAATTATCAGTCATTTCAGCATTATTTGGAAGGTATAGTGGCTTTTATTTGAAAGAATTTTATTCACCATTGATTTAGTTTGCTAATGTATTGTATTATTTATAATAGTTTTCTTGGTAAGTCATCTTTCATCCGATCAAAAATACCAGATCATTTCCATCGATCAATTTTATGTGGATGTTTAATAGTTATACTTAAGGTATGTGTAAATTCTCGCATTTCAAATATGATCTTTAAAAAATTAAATTAATAAATATATGGCATGTGGTATCTTTATTAGGACGCTGTGGATCTCACTTTTAAATATCAGAAGGTGAAGCAACGACGTTCACGTCAAGTACAAAATTACGAAGAGTTTGCCCATGAAGAAAGAACGAGGAGAGGTCACAATCAACGACGAAGAGCATGAAGGAAGAGAAGGGAAGAAAACATCGTTAATATGAATATGTAAGCATACTAATTAAATTAATTTAATTTAATTTTTGTAATAAACTAAAAGCAGTATTAGCTTCAATAACGACTCGGTAAATATTTGATTTCATTATGTTGCTATACATTTTCTTATAATCATAATAAATTACTTTTTGTTATTTATTAGAATTAAAATTAAATTAAAATTAGTAATAATTGTTGATATCGATGTAAATATGAACTAAATGCATTGAATAACGATGATGATGACGATTGATGATTAATGGAATGAAGTATATATACAAATGACTGGTTCTATCAGATAATGTAATGCACGAAGAATTTACTAGTGTACAAATTAAGAAAAAAAAAGAAATAAATTAATACTCTATGACATTTTAATTCATATTATAAAGTTCACTACATCTTACTACCCGTCGAGTATTAGTACTCTTTAAAGTTTGTCTCACAAAGCTTCCATCATTCGCTTTATTATCATTAATAACTTCAACAGTAGGCCCCGTACTCAAATACACGCCATCTACATAATGTTGCCGATAAAATTCTGTGTCTTTTTGAGCAAAGTTTGATGCCACGGTAGGTCGACGTCTGGTGTACTTGTTGATTTTCCACATTTCATATTGAGATTTGATTTTTTTTATAAAAGACATTTCGAATTCGGATTAAACTTTTTGAGATAACACTTTACGATTTGATGGAAATTTCACACAAGGGAGGAGGAGGAGGAGGAGGAGTTGTTGTTCAAAATTTGATGTTGAAGAGTTAACTAACAAGTTTGTATTTCGTTAAACGTCACAAACGAGTTTTAGCACGCGTAACTTCCCCCGAGAGGTGAAAGTTGTGAAGATAAAAGTGATTATCAACAAAACTCGAAAAGTTCCTATAACACTAAATGGGATTTCGCAGAAAAGTCATATAAGACGAGAGAAACGAGTTGAAACGAGAGAGAAAGAGTTGGATGAGATGAATTGTAATTAAGATGGAGATAACACTTTATATAAAGTATTGAATTTTATTATTGATAAGTATTTTTATTTTTGATATTATTCGATCAATAGGGAAAGAAAGAGGGAAAAGAGGAGGAGAAGGAGAAGGAGAGGAATTTCGGGGAAAGATAAACTACTATATGAGCGAGAAAAAAGAAGGAATAAGGAAATGGAAATAATTGCGTTGTGCATATTAAATTTCGAATTCTAAGTGTAATCGTCATACTTTAATGACACATTTTATTGGGTTTTATTATCATCATTTGTATGACAATGCGCCCGCACAATAACGTTTTATATTGTGCTCAATATTTTTGACGCAAGAGTTTTGGCTGATAGATCTATTTTTTGCCTTCATTAAATATATGAAATATTAATTTAAATCATGCAACGCTTAAAACCTGCACACGAAATCTACAATCGTCTTTTATGGGACACTTCTTGTGTCCCTGGTGGTGAGTTTGTTATTGGTTATGAAGACGTAAGTAACAGGAGATGGAGACGGCATTTCCTTGAAAAAATAATTATTTTAATACTTTTTTTTAATATTAATAGAGATTTCTTGGCATACTGGAAACGTCAAGAGAAGCTTTTGAAGCGGAAGAACTACCAGTAAGAATATTATTATATACATATGCATTAATCAATATTAATAAAAGTTGTTCTATTTCTATTTCAAGTTTCACCGAATACGTTACTTTAAAGCTATTCAAAATGATCAAAGATTATGGGATAGAGAAAAACGGATAGATATAATCACAAGTTCCTATAAAAATTCAAATTCTTCCGACATCATCGATTCAGAAATTTCAAATTCTTCTGACAATTCAATATTAACAATACCAAACATCATCGATTCAGAAATTTCAAATTCTTCTGACAATTCAATATTAACAATACCAAACATCATCGATTCAGAAATT